TCCAACTCTTAGAAAAGCTTTCAATTCTTCCTAGGGGAAAAAATAGTTTATAGAGGGGAAGAGAGGAAGATTACATAAAATATTTTGAAACAATAATCCTTGGCTATAAGAATTAATAACAAGGATGGCACCAGACCAAAGTCAAGGAAAAGAACGTTGCTGGGTAGAGTGTAACTATTTTTTTGTGTAGATTGTGGTTCTGGCAGACTTGTGATGTTATCAAGTGTGTGTGTATGAATCCTTTTTTCAAAACTGCCCAGCTTTTTTTTTTTTTAATTGGTTGGTGTTGATACAAACTACTGATGAACCCAGCCTAATTCCATTTTAAGATTGGGAGCCATCTCATCTCAAAGTCATGAAAAGTTAATTTCTGTTTTACTGTAAATTACTGTGATTTCTAAACTTGCTTGGAATGCCTGCTGGTGTCTTGAACTCACCCATGCCTGGATTTCCCTGATCAGATAACAATCCTCTCTAAAACCTTAGTGGAGCCTCACAAATCCTGGCTCCCCCTGATCAGATAACAATCCTCTCTGAAATCTCATTGGCACCTCATAAATTCTGATGTTGGGATATAAATTTATTTCCTACCTTGAAATGTTAAGCCATATAGGTCATTAATCTACTATCTACCTTTGTGTTATGCTTGTCAAAATCCTGTTATCTGTAAGTTCTCAAGACACCTGCCTCTGCGCCGCTGATCAACTCTCTTTGTGTACACAAATAYAAACTTGCTTTAATTTGATTTAAAATTAGAGTTGGTGGTCTTTTCTTTGCATCAGGGTTCAACACTACTCCATTTTGATTCTAACAAAAATTTATAAATTCTGAAAAGGTAAATGCCAAATGCAGGCTAGTATTAATTATGGTTTCCAGAAACTTAAGAATCAAACTAAGTCAGTTTATGTAAGTCATTTTTATTTTACATGCAAGTTTTCAAGTGGTTATGTATGTATCTTCAATTTACAACCTCCCACCCCAGGGCTTCACATATATTAGGCAAATATTCTACATCTAAACTACATCTCCAGTCCTTTTATTTTTTAAGTTTTATTTTTAAATACAATCTCATTAAGTTGCCCAGGCTAGCCTCAAACACAGTTCTCTGGCCTCAGCCTCCAGAGTCTTTAGGATTATAGGCATGTGCCACTATGCCTAACCCAAACCTTTAAAATGTTTTTAAGTAGGTTCTTCATTATAAATCCAGTTATCTTTCCCAACTCCAACTGTTATACCGTGGCCAAAAAGTCTTCCCTGGTTTCTCATGGCCTTGTTCATCCTTTGACTTACAAAAGCTCTAACGACATTTCCAATCTGATCTCCAACCAACATTCTCATGTATTTACTTTTCTCAAGTCACATGAACATTGTCTCACTGAGATTCTCACCTTCTTGAATTGTAAGGGGGGGGGGGGTCCGGCGGAACGTCGGAGGGAGAGACCACACAAGAGACTTACTCCATGCAATTGGCAAAAGGGGATTTATTGGGGATCCATTCCAGCGCGCTGGGACTCTGTGCCCACTCATGAAGGGAGCGCAGCTCAGAGCCC